GATTTCTATGGAATACTAGAACTCATTAAGTTAATATATAATTTATTTATATAAAACTATGGCTAGTTTTTGTAGTACAAGGATATCACGTGAAAATCTCATGCTAACCAACTCTGTATATAAATATAAATAAATAATCTAATAAAAACTTTATTAATAGTAATACTCGTATTTTTAAAATACGGGATCTCACGGTTACAATAGAGCTAAGTAAGGATTGAAGACGGTCATGTACTATAAGATGGGAAACGTTTAAGGTAATTACAAGTATTGGTTGCTCAATATATACTCAAGGTTGTGTATTTGATTTTTATCTACTCAAATACTGTTTGTATAAGAAAAAAGATCTAATGCAGGAGATAGTTAAAAAAAAAAATGGCATAGATAGGGGAAAAATCATCAGGGAAGATTTGGTATCCTTGGCCTTTTCTGGGTCTTCAAAAAACTTAGTGATTATATTTAAGAAAAATTTCATTAACCGTGTACCGATGCTCGATTGCTTGATTAGGAATTCCTATTAAAATATTGCCAATTTGCAATGGTCGGGTTCTCTACTATTTCTAGTTAGGTTTTGGCGCTTGATCTGTTTATATTTTTCATAAACAAGTGGCTAGTTTGATATGTAGCCAACATAGGTGGTGACGTAGCTGTAGCACGACGTATTAGTGTCAAATCAAACTATGGGGTTAGGAATAATTGGAACTTAATTAGGCGTAAGGAATAATTAACATAGGCCGACTAGTTAAGCTGCTATTAATTGTATATAATTGGAGAGTCCGTGTGTGTTTCTAATGCCTACGTATCTATCGTTTTTAATTGTCAAAAACTTCTTTGTCAATCAAAAGATATTGAAAAGACAATTTGATCTTATATCACAAACTAAAATCATCGGCATAATATATATAATTTTGCATAAACCAAAATTTAATTTTTTTTCCTTGCCTCACACACATATCATCATAACATATCTCTCTAATTTTAAAAAATAAAAAATAAAAATATAAACCTCTCTCCACTCCCACATTTTCTCTCATCTCACTCCCTCTTTCTATTACATTTCTTTCCAACCTCTCTCTCTCTCTCTCTCTCTCTCTCTCTCTCTCTCTCCATATATCTTCCCAAAAAACAAAAAAACTGCTTCAGACAAAGTGTGTGGGCTTAGGCTATAGTATGTTTATGTGTTTCTATGCATTTAGGGTAAATACCTTACTATGAATACATGTTATGTTATGGTATTAGACTAATTGTAGTTAGTATGACAGTAACGTTGTCAATTGGTTCTTACAAATTTGTAATGTTCTAAATTTCAAATACATGTATATTGTGGTAGTTAATATTGTTTAGGAGTGGGATTTTGTAAATCTAGAAGTAGATTCCAATAGGATTTGGGATTATGATTTGTATTTACTTGTAAGGCGAGTAAAGCCATAAGATTAGTACAAATAAAGACATAAAACCACATGGGAGCATATCAATTCAGAAAGCTAAGCCATTCTCTTGTCTTCCATCTTATATCCTCACTCTCTAAATTTTCCTTCAACATATATTTATCAATAGAGAAATATGTACAAATTGTTCTCGAATTATTTAGTTTTGTGCAATTACCACGTAAATTAAAACATTTACAATTAGCCACCCGAAGTTTCAAACAGTTTTGTCCACTTTCATCCACATTTCCGTCAAATAATGACACAAGAAAAGAACAAATAACCTTTTTCAAGATCATTCTTGTTATTTTACTCGAGTAAGAGGGGAAAAAGGGGGAAACAAACTGATCCGTTGAGGTAAAAAATACCCGCATGAAAACCTGTTTTGCCCACTAATGACTGTATATTTGATCGGATAAATGGTTTTAGGTACCGAATTTGCAGTAAACAACTAGAATTAACACCCTTGAAAAAGCTCTCGTGAAATCTAGCTAGCGAATTGCAAATACACCAAAATTTCTTGCCAATCTAAAGGCATAGTTCGAAAACATACCATAATCATACTGTTTGACAAACTTATAACAAAAGAAAATTTCCCACATATGTAATTAATATATACAGATAAAAATTGCAGCACATGATGGGTCTGGTTAACTAAAATCTGAAGAAGAAATCAAGGCCACACCCCCAACCCTTAAATTAGGTTGATTTCAAACATCTTATAAATGAATCAAAAAGAAAACAAAAGAAGTAAATAAAATGTTGGTAATGTAAAGTTTATATGTAGCTAGGCATTGCACATAGTCCCAGCCATAAAATGAATTTGTGTTTTCCCCAAGTCAAGTGCCCCAGCTAGGTAGCATGCATATATATCAATCCAAATGAACCAATATTGTGCAGAGGGATGGGGGATTGGACTACGATGTCTCACCCGTTGGAGTTATTAGTGGACCCCCTAACCCTAAGCATCCATTGACAAAGATCAATAGCTAAGCCTTTATATACGTTTGATCTCATGCCTCTCGTTAAGCCTTACCTGTACTTAGTTATGGATTACCTTTATCAAAATTTCCCCTCTCTTGTGTTCTACTGTTCTCTCCTTTTCCCTTTCTCTTCACCCCACTCTATACTTAGGGTTAGGGTTTGTAGGGTTGGGGGCCGGGACTTGGGATCAGATTAGGTTGGGGCTGTATTTCTACTTTTATGTTCACATCCATCGGTTCATGGTTTTTGTTTAGAACATAGAAAAAAGAAAATCAAATTATTTGCAATACACATTTACTTGCAAGGAATGTGATTTGAAATCATTTTGATTCTTGAATTCCTTTTCGTTAACTTATATAGAGTATAGAAAATATTTCACTTCTTAACTTTTAAATGTGTTTACTAGCTAAGACATATGGAATAAAAAAAAAGTGCCTCCCTTCGAGATACGTAACCAAATACTTAAAAATCATAAATTAGATCAACTAGGGTATAGTTGATTCGATTCCCTTCCTTACTTTTCCTATTTCTAAAATCTGGTTCCTTCGTCCCTATTTCTGTTAAATAAATTAGTGCTAAGAAAGAAACATTGATGACACAAAATATTATTATTATCATGACTTTAATCACCCTTCAATGTTCTAACAGTGACGTGACTATACGTATCATATGCGTGCATATGAAGCCTTTTTGCTGGACTACATGTACAATACAATACAATCTCTCTCTCTCTCTCTCTCTCTCTCTCTCTCTCTCTCTCGTCCTATCCTATTCCCACCGGCCAATTTAACACCTTTTATTCTTATTCACTGTATATATATTTGTATTAACTGCATGTATGGAGTAATGAAATTTGCAATAATATAGCAAATTATGTAAATTACCACGAGCTAGTAGTATTTGATGCATGTTGTTGTAGAGTGATAGATTATATATATAGGACCACGCCTCACGCCTCTCAGAAACTTGAATATTGGACCACCCAGTTAAGCAGGCCAAGCACACCCTACCCTCCAGTTGGCGGCTATCATGTCTTACATGCATGATGCATCTCTCTCTCTCTCTCTCTCTCTCTCTTTGACTGACTGTATTGGTCAGGAGAGAAATTAAAGGAAGTAGTAAAGTAATGTGCTATCAATTTGTTTGCATCTAAATACAGCTCGAAATGATGAAACAAGCAGAAAGAGAGAAAGGTTGATCGAGCAGCAATCCTAATTTATATTGCAGATACGACCGGGATCTTTTATTTTTCTTTTCTTTTTTGTGGGCCAAAACAGATTTGACGTGATTTGTTAACTAACATATTAAGCAGAAGTAGTAATCAAGCACGATATATACAAGTACTAATTTACCTGCAAATAGTTTTCTGAATGCTTATTTTGGAGGCTTAAATAATGGATGATGTGCGTATTATTCGTTTAAGTTTTGATGTCTCAGTGCATAATGTCAAGATTTACGAAAGGATAGTTTGGTGTGTCGAAACAAAATATCAAACCCATCACAGCGGGCTGACAATTGGGATTGAATTGCAAAGCCCAATGCTCAAGTTTTCTCTTTGTCTCAAACTACCACTTGTGTCTATGTAGATTATTTTGATACAATCATGGAGATTTAAGTTAAGTCATGCAATAGGCTAGTTCTAATTTGATATTGAACTTGAGACCGACGTTTCACTTACAAGAACAGAATAATACCTAAGAGTCTAAGACCTCCTACCCTCTCACTTACAAGAGAAGACTAGTTAACTGTAGTACTAGTGACACAATTGTGTCTATGTAATTAAGAAACCTAAAAAAAATAAACTAAATAAGCTCACAAGAAATTGTTGTTTCCCCGGATCTTATAATCATGCTCCCTAGTTTTATCTTAGTTTTCCGCTAAAAAGACATTGGGAGCTCCTTGTAAAACTATTCCAACCATATTCTGTAGTTTAATCCCTTTAGGGAGTTATAATGATTTGAAGCCAATATAAATAAGGGCTATTAGAATGTTAGCATCCATCCTAAAATCAATTAACAATAAAAGGGAGAGTCCTAGAATTTTTCAAGAATGCTTCTCTTGTTACCTGGATCGTCACCAATGACATGAATCGATAATAATTTAACACGTATCATTTTATATAGGCTCATTTGGATATGCTTTTAAAATGATTGAAAGTGCTTTTGAAGAAAATATTATTGGGTTCCAAAAAACACTTAAAGTGCTTTATGCAAGAAGTTATGTGCTTTTTCCAGGAAGCATTTTAAGTGTTTTTCTAAGATTTACTTGCATCTTTACTAAATATCGGTTCTAAAAACATTTTCACCAAAACCCTTTTCAGTCATTTTAAAAGTACATCCAAACGAGCTCTATTTTGAGTTGTCTCAACAACTAAATTAATTTTCGATAATTGCCTTAATAGCTAGAATATTCCTCTTCAACCCACTAAATGAAAACTTAATTAATGGACCTTATTGGGCTTAAATAAACATTTAGACCCAATATAAAAATATTAGGCCTTAAAGCAGAAGAAATCAGATTTGCAAAAAGAACATTTTGGGCCCAAAAACTCCAAAAGCGGTGGTGTCTCTACCCTATTCACTGCCTCACAAAATCCGGCGACAAGTCGAAACAGAGGCAAATAGAAATAGTAGCGAATAGGGTTGGGTTGTGTAGGGTTTTAGAAGACAAGATTTATATAGAGTTGTGTCTGTGGGTTGCGGAGGCGGGAGGAGAACAATCAGCCATGGACTCGTTTTCATCACCGTCAGGCGGATCTTCAGGCCAATTCAATCCTGACGCCTTCAAGGACCAGCTTAAGAACCAGCTTGCTCAGGCTTATGCCGAGGAGTTCCTTGAGGTGCTCTTTCTCTCTCTACTCTCTCTCTCTACATCTTATCAATTTATGGTTTTTTTTTTTTTTTGTTCACATCATTATATTTTCTATCGAGTTTATTTGTACTATGTAAATTTTTAATCTTTGAGTTAATATAAATTTATTGATTTGTTGTTTACTTGTTTTGGGGTTGTTTTATCTTTTGTTTGATGGGTAATTGATTTGAGTATGCAATACATAGTATTAGTTCGAATATTGAGCCCTCAAGGTTTAAAATTTTGTTCTTTCAATGCTAGTTGTTTGCGTGGATCCCTGGCTTTAGACTTGCGATGGAAGGGATGCCCTTATTGGTTTGATGATCTGAGTACACGAATGCATATTCATGTTTGTTCTGTGAATGTGTGAAGCTAATTTTGAACTTATCGAGGTATTAACGTATAGAATTTTGTTCCTTTAATCCTAGTTTATGCTGTGTTGATTTGTTGTGTTGAAAGGAAAATATTTTGATGAATGAAATAGAAACCGGTCTGTATTTTCTTTGGATTCCTATGTGTTGGAGTTTGATTGTTTCCAATTTTCGTTTTACTTGGAAAAGGGACTCTTTTGCTTGAGCGCAAGTTGTTCAATTGTTTGAAACACAATGGCATTGCTGGTTTAGCCTCTTGAGTTTCTTCGGGTGAGGTTGCCTGGCTATTTGTTTTATGCATGTTATGGGGAACCCTATTTTTGGACTAGGGACTTTAAAGTTCCGTGGAACTTAATCTAAATTTGCTAGGAATGCATTAAAAATTTTGTTCGACGGGCTTTAAAATGACAAGATGCTACGTTTGAGGGAAATTTTTAAGTTCCATCGGAAATCCTTTGTTTAGTTTCTTTGTAGTGTTTTAGTATGAGCATTGTAGTGCTTGATTAGTTAATCGGTAGTCATCTTGTAGTGCTTTCCCTTTTAACAATTGATTCTAAAGTTCCTTGGTATTTTGAAATCCCCTTATGCAAACATAGGTTGGTTATTTCTTTGAAATAGCAAATACTCATCATACATATATTTCATTTTTCTTCTGTTTTTTCTTGTGTTTTCCAAGCTTAGGCTACGAGCTATTTGAGACACACATATGCAGCATACACTTGCATGTGTGTTCCTGATGCGTTTTATGAATAAATATGAGTTGCATATTCTTGGGAAGCTTCCTCTGGAAATGTTCCCAGATGTTGGGGTTATGAACTATGAAATTACATAGAATCCCAGTTCCGGCAATTCCCCTACCAAACTATATGTGAGTATACCCCTACATAGACAGCTTAGATGATTATGGTGGGTGACAGGGTGAGTATACTGATGTTTCGGCTATCTTCATGTGTATGCATATGTTTTAGAGATGAGGACCATTAAAGGTCAAAGAACATTGTGACACCACCATATGTTTTCTTTACCAAATTTACAGGTGGTGTTATTGATTACTTACATTGAATATAAAAGAAAACTTCTTCATGTTCTTCGTTTGTGAAATTCACTCGTCTATTGTATTTTGTATATGCTAGTAACTCTTTTCTTTTGCTGACATTTCTTCTCCCTGATCGTTTTTCATTTGTCCCGTAGACCATGAGGTCAAAGTGCTTTGACAAGTGCATCACAAAACCAGGAACAAGCATAAGTGGGAGTGAGAGTAGCTGCATCTCTAGATGTATGGATCGCTACATTGAGGCCACTGGCATCATCAGTAAAGCTCTCTTTAGTGCATCCCATCAATGAACTTACGGGGTGTAAATTGCTTTCTTGACGAAAGTTGAAGTTTTCAGAGAAAATTACTTTCGCTTTGTATTCTATCTCGAAGATAATATTTTCATTGGAACAGATGTTCGGTGCACACTCTTGCTAATTTTTGTACGTGAATTTTAGCTATTGAGATTCCCTTCCTCAGTTCCGCTTCCTTTTCGCATATTGATTTAGATGCTAGATCTATCTGCTCGGTTGGAAGATCTGTTGGTCGATCAAATGATACTATAGAACTAATACATAATCAATGGATTACAAAATTTTGTGCATCCATCGGGTTTACTGTTAGCTAACGTCTCTCTTTATTCTTATACCTAATAATCTCTAATCTTGTGGCCGAAAAACACACCCTAAGATGTTTGCTTTAAAATCTGCTCGAAAACTATTGAATATACACCCCAATGAACCAATACACAATTAGAGCAGTGCTAGGATTAGTTGTGGCGTCACCGTCATGTTCATGGGATTGGTCTTGTTTTGGAGAATAACTTGTATGCCTTAGATTCACCGTCACGGTGACATTATGTGCTAATAATTAAGACTGAAAAAAAAAGGACATGTTCTTATTTGTTGGCACGAGACACCACATAGCGGTAAATCCGTGCTGCAAGTCCTCCTGATTCTGGCCTTTGACGATTGAACCTTAGCAAGGCCGGCCTAGCTATTTGGGGGGCTTGGGCAAAATTCAAAGGAGGCTATTATTTAAAAATAAACAATTTTTGTGTCAGCGACAAAATGTAGGCTTTGTAATTTTTAAAGTCAACGTTTTGGCACGCCCAATGGGACCTAATGCTACAAACTAGAAGTTCATATGATATTTCGGTATTTCAATCTGGCTTAATTCATCCGATTGGACGAGATTCAAGTGCAAGTGGAGAGAGACATTAAAAAATGTGAGGAGAATAAAAGAACATGGGAAGCAAACAAAAATTCTTAATGCGCATGAAAAGATGTGATAGTCTTTCACCCACATTTCGAAAATGAAAGCTCCAAGTACCTTACAAGAGGCATGGGTAGAAGAAGACAAAACCCACTTTAGTACTGGTTAGATAAGAAAGACTTCCTTTACGCTTCTACATACAAATCAATTTCATTTGAAGTGTGGTTGGATCAAAAGGCCGAGCGGCAAGTCCCGACCTAAGAGGATTGTCAATTTAGCCGAGAAAGAAACAAAGCCACCTATTCCTTCGATTGAGTTAGAAAATTTGGTTAGCCTAGAAGAAGAAATTCAAATTTATGAGTCAAATACAAAAATTGATTAAGAAAGCAATTTGTCAAATGAATGCTTCAATGACAACAAAGGCGAAGCACGGTCTCAAATGAAAAAACCATGTCAAGTGATCTGGTTATTGGAAATAAAGCCAATATGGAGCAATTCCGTTGGCTGAAGTGCTCAAGTTAAAAGTCAATGTTGACGAAGTGATTATGCTTGAGGGCATAATAACTCCGCGCATTTAGCCATCAAGAATCGAAAATATTTGGCCAAATTAAGAATATTTGGAGATGATCCTTTATTTGGCTTGGAGCAAAATTAGATTGAAAACGTTAGCGTAAAAAGATCTCAGCTCAGACTAAAGCATTGTTGGCCTCCTCATTATGATTTGGCCATTTTTATTTTCGTTTGTTAAAAAAATAACTTTTCTTTTCTTAACCATTCGGTTGTTTCAGTTGATGCTTGAGAAAATAAAGGGGGCAATAAGCCATTTGGAAAAAAAAAAAAAAAGTTCAATTTTAATGGCCACCCATTTTATTTGGTAGACCTCCAAGTGGACTGGTTGGTTACTTTAGCCAAAAAGATTCATACCATTGTCTCATCAAGTTCTGCGGTATCTTATTTTCGATCTTGTACTTCGCTACCGAGAAACTTGAGGAAGCGAACAGTCAAGGGATTAATTTCCCTAAACATTTGACCCACAGGCCAATATTCAAGGAAGTAGGGCCAATGTTTGGGCCCAAACTCATTTTTAGTTCAATTGAAGTCAGTCTAGAAAGTGGGCTATGAGTCTAGGCCCAATGGTTTGGTGCTGATGGAGTAGCTGAATCTTGGATAAGCTAGGCTTGTAAGGATTGAGATGTTTTTCTGATGAGAATCAAAATATTCCTAGGATCGAAGATTGAGGCTGATGGGATAAAGGAGAAATTGAACGCATAGTAGAACTAGATTAAGAGTATTAATTTAAGTGGAAGAGGCTGAGAAATGATGAATATAGAGTTTTGGCCGAAAATAATTATGTTTATATTCGAAAAATATGCTGAGAAATTAGAATATTATCATAATTTTATCACTCAGAGACTAGACACCAAAAAATTTATTCATATAAATATATGAGGAATTTGCAACATATAATGTCCCTTCAACTCAATATACAACTCAAAATACTCTACTCGAAAGTCATCACTCTATGCGTAACCCTTCTTACCCTTGAGAAAAAAATTACTATCATAATTTTCATGTCAACACATATTTAGTTTGGATAAGTAAACATAACTGTGTTGACATCAGACGACAACTTCAATTTGAATAAGTAAACAAATTGGAGCCATAAAACCAAACGATGCAGAGGCACCTTCAATTTGAACAAGTAAACAACACTGTTTCTAATTAGTTGATTGTCTATTCAAGTTTCGGCCGGCAAAAGAAAAAGGAAAAAAAATCATGTGCGAAGAGACGAAGGAAAGAGAAAGGACAGGGGTAGAGATGGGCACTTGGTGACGAAAGGCAGAGGGAGGAGGGTTGGGTCGCAGACGACGGCGCAACTGCATCTTCTGAAAATCCGGCTTGAATTGGATACATGGGTGCGGTAGCAGTGTGTTGGTTTGCACTCTGCGTAGCTGCGGGAGATGGAGAGGTTACCGGATGCTTAAAGGAAATTAAGCTAAGTTTTTGGAATTAAATGCAATTAATATTAATGAATGAACGCATGAGTAGGTGGATTGATCTACCACCATGTACTTGTTCTTCTTACAATCCGCTTTCTCCAGATATTCTTTACCTAGCTCTGCTACATCAACAAGGTAGAGGAGTCGGCGAGGGGATAGAGAGAGGGATATTGACACGTGTGACGAACGTGTCACAAGTTTAATTGTTCAACACTGGTACCCTCGGATGCAGACTAGGGCTACAATTACATCATGGAAATCGTAGGGAATGACGTGTGATATTGTGATGTCACTTTGATTACATCATTGAAAATAAAATCTGTGATTTTATTTCATGTTACCTGCCGACACAGCTGATCGGCTTCTAATTCGCTTCTGACTAAGACTTAGCGTGTGGCAGCGCAATTTTTTTCTTGTCTAGTTACCAAACTCGGTTTCCATTTTCCATCTCCTCGCAGTGCACGATACCTCACCGGGGGTGTTGGATCATAGTTTTATCTTTCTTCGACGAAATTAGATAACGTTTTTTAAGTCTAAATTTGTTGGCAAACCCAACTCATCACTTTCTTCCTTCTTTTTTTTTTTTTTTTTTTTTTTTTCGGTTTTTTTGGGGGTTTTTGGGGGGGGGGGGGGGGGGGTGAGGGGGGCACAACATATATATCAGCATAATTAAATCTCTATTCGACGCGTAAATTGGACGTTTCATTTTTTTGCATTGTTGTAGAGACATGAAAAATTAATATATGTAATTTATGTAAGTGAACAGATAAATGCTTAGAATATTCTAGTATAGAGATATACCACGTGATAAGAAAAAAAAAAAGTAAAATATACTCAGCTAATTAATAAAATGATTTGTTTTTGGTTTATGCAAAACACATGAAGAGAGTCTAAATAAAGAGTATACTCCAATATAACACACATTAAACTCGTGCATGGAATTTAAAATGATGAACGTAAGAAGCATGACATTAACTTTATCATTACAAAGTACAAGTACTATAACGGCGGTCCAGCAGCAAAAAGTGATGTGAACCAAGTTCATATGAGAAGGCCAGATTCATGCGGAACATTTTGTTGTAGCACCGTAATGATTAAAAGTAATGTTATTTACAGATTCTTTTTTATTTTTGATACTTTTTTTTTTTTTAATTTTTGGTCACCGATCAAATAAAATGAATAAGATTAACTCGTAAAAAATTAACGAAAGTGTTTGATAAATATAAATAAATGTGTGAATTCACTTTTCAATATTAAAGAGCTAAGCTAAAGCATGACATTAACTTTCTCCAAAAAAAAAAAAAAAAAAAAAATTGCTCAATGGAGCTTTATAATTATAGAAGTAATAATTTGACTTTGCCTTAAGATAAGTGTTATTAAAACTCTAAAAATCTCATTCTACACTCTTCCAAAGTATATTTTTCTTTCCTAATCTAGAAAGTTTGGAGTGTAGAATGAGATTTTTGGAATGTTAATAACAATTCCCTAAATTAATTTGACAATTTTAGAAGAAAAAAAACATTTTCCATATAATAGTGCTTCCTCGTATTCTATAAATAGGGATAGGGATCCAAAGCCCCATTCACCAAACCTTCCAATTTCATTAGTTTTGCAACTTTTGTCTTCAGTCATAAGCAAAATGGCCACCACAACAAAGCTACTGCTAACAGACCTCATGTCTGGTGCGAACCATATCCCTTCAAACTACATCAGACCCATCACCGACCGTCCCAATCTCACTGATTTTCAGATATCAGATACCACCTCCATTCCTCTCATTGATCTCAAGGACCTCCATGGCCCAACGCACTCTGATATTATCAAACAGATTGGTCTAGCATGCCAAACTGATGGTTTCTTTCAGGTAACAATTAAAAAACACACACACGCACACACATACACATATATAAGTATATACTTCGGCAAATGATTTCGACACATCTCTTTTCTCTTTCTGCATGCCCTGTTGATTAGTGCCTTTGTTTCTCCTTGTGTGTGTGTGTGTGTGTATATATCCCATTACTTTATACATAATTATACTTAATTACATGTATAGTATGAATATGAGTACTACTATTTATAATAACTAAATTAAGCACCAACCTTTTTATATCAGGTGAAAAATCATGGAGTTCCAGAGACAATGATCAAAAACATGTTGACTATAGCAAGAGAGTTTTTCCAATTACCAGAGAGTGAGAGGTTAAAGATGTACTCAGATGACCCTTCTAAGACCACCAGGCTCTCCACTAGTTTCAATGTGA